ATTGTGTGATTTCCTTCACTCAACATTAAGATTCATGAAAAGCTTCTGCATATAATTATAATTTATTATTTTCATTGATTTTCCATGATATAAATATACCATAATTTAATTATCTAGTTTACCAGTGGAAAGTGTTTGGAATGTTTTTGTTTCTTACTCTCATTAATAGCTTTGCTGTTAACATTCTTGCATATGTCCAGGGTATGTTACTAGGAGTGCTCTTATTGGGATCTGTGATAATAAATACACATCTTTCCTTTTTGAAATAATGCCAGACTATTTCTCAACATAGTTATACTAATTTACACACTTAGTCCATTTGGGCTACTCTAACAGTATTCCATAGACTGAGTAGCTTGTGAACATAACTTATTTTTCAGCTCTGGAGGTTTGGAAGTCTAAGACTTGATATTTTCAAGGACTCATTTCCTGATTCATACAACATCCTTCTTGACAGAAGAGCAAAGTTCTCTGAGTGACCCTGTATGTGAGGATACTCATTAGTCACATTCATGAGGGTTCCATCCTCAGATCCTAATCCCGTTCCATAGACCTCACCTTCTAATGTAATCACATTGGAGAGTAAGTTTCAACATAAGAAATTTTAGGGGAGTCTATAGCATATTGCCATGAGAATTTTATAAGAGCATCAATTAATCCTTATTCTTATGAACAGTTATTTTTCTAAGAGCTGCAATTTATTTTAGTATTGGCAATGTTTTTATTTATTTTATTGATTAAATTTATTCTTTGACCACTTTATACATGTATAGAGTATGTTCTGTTTACTTTCACCCCCTGCCTTCTCTTCCTCTCACAGCTGCCATTTTCTCTACTCCCTCCTCCCTACAGATCCTTTTTCCACATTCATGCCTTTTTGTTTTGTTTTGTGATCCACTGACTTTAACTAGGACCATCTGTATATCCACTGAGCGTGGTGGGCTCACCATGTGGCATATAACTGAAGCCAGTGACTGTCCCTTCCCCCAGAATCTGTCAGTTACCAGTAGTTCAGCAGGGAGGGGTAGGGTCCCATGAACCTCTGCCCAGTCCAAGCATGGCAACTGACAGGCCCAGTGCAGGCAACCACAGCTGCTGTGAGTTCATATTTGCCATGGCTATGTCATGATTCGAGAGTTTTCTCCTCATCTTCCCGCTCTTCTTTCTATTCCCTCATCTGCAGTGTTCCCTGAGCCTCAGAAGTGGTGGTGTCAGTGTCCTGTTTAGGGCTAAGCTCTCAACAGCCGTATTTTCTAAGCATCATGAGCAGCCACAAGTCTCTACGAAGAGAGGCTTCTCTGAGGCAGGATGAGAGTAGCATGAACACGTAACTTTTGAAATGCTATCTCATGCTGTTCATTGATTGCATTGATCTGTCTAGTAGGGAAGGCAAGGGTTTTTTACACTGATTTATTAGTTATTTGAGTTTCTTCTGTGAATTACCTTTTCAAGTCCCCCCCCCCCCCCAGTTTTCTTGGTTTAAAGCCCTTTTTCAAGTTCTAATCTTTTATGAGCAAAATGTATTGCAAATATTTTCTCCTTGTGGATCTATGACTCCTCTTAATAAACAAGTGCTTAATTTTACTGAGATCATCTTTACAATATTTTCCATAAATCTTCCATAAAATCGTAAAGAACATTCTTCTGTATTATCCTCCAGAAATTTATAGTTTGCCCATCACATTTGTTTTCATGCTGCCTGGAGCTAATTTTGTGCAGAGTATGAATAGGACTCCAGTTGGGTGAATTTTTTTTTGTTTTGTTTTGCATTTCTGGTTACTGAATTTAGGGTCTCATTATGCTAGGCCAGCACTCTACCATTGAGCTATATTCCCAGTCCCAGTACAGTGTTGTAAAGCATGTGGATTATTGATTATCTCCACACTATCAAGGTCGTTCTTTCCCCCCGAGAAGCAGTGTGTGCCTGCCAGCTGCGTCAGTCATCTTCAGGAAACAGCTTTTGATCCTTGTCTTTACTGGAGGTTTGATTTCTTGAGTTATTTTCTTTGTGTTTATTTTGGCTTCAAGCTTCTTTATTCTGTTTTGTTTCTCTTTCATTAGTTTTTGTTGTTTATTCTGTTTTTCTGGCATCCTAAGTTATATGCCGAGTTAATATATAGCTTTTATTTTTTCTAAAATAAGCTGTCCATAAATTACTTTCTAAAAGTTACTTACCTGTTTTCCAAAAATGTTCTTTATTCTTTGGTTTTTCTCTTTTTTAAATTTATTTTTAAAACTTGTTTTTTTTTCCTTTGATTCATTAGTTACTCTGAATTTGTTCATAATTTTTATGTCTGTTTATACTGATTTCTAACTTAATCATATTCTAGGTAAAGAATATGACAGTCATAGTTGCTTTTTTTTAAAAAATTTAAACAATTGGGTGCCATTTACTAAGACAAAAAAGTTTGGAGGTAGAGAAGAGAAACAAGAACATTATTTTAGAGCCATTAAATTTGCCATACCTGTGAGAATCCTAGCAGAGAGGTCTTCTGGTCAGTTAGACTAGCTCTGTGTATTAATTTTTAGTGATAAAAGGTATATTTAATGTTCTTGAATAACTTTTTCTAATTAGGAACAATTTTTCATAGTTGCAGAAGACCCTGCAAAGTCACTTACAGAGCTATCTCCAGACTTTGGACATTCGTCACCTCCACCGCAACCTCCTTCCATGAACTCCTTGTCTTCTGAGAACAGATTTCACTCTCTACCCTTCAGCTTGACAAAGATGCCCAATACCAATGGCAGCATTGCTCACAGTCCGCTGTCACTGTCAGTGCAGTCTGTGATGGGAGAGCTGAACAGTGCACCTGTCCCGGAGAGTCCGCCCTTGCCCATCTCTTCTGGTAACACACATGGTCTAGAGGTGGGCTCACTGGCTGAAGTGAAAGAGAACCCTCCTTTCTATGGAGTGATCCGTTGGATTGGCCAGCCACCAGGACTTAATGAAGTGCTAGCTGGACTGGAACTGGTAATTTAACTTGACCCTAAAACTACATGAGACTTTGTCTAGATTTTTCCCCATTGTATATTTTCTTGGGGAATCATTGTATTTTTCAAAAAAGCCATCTGTAGAGAAAAATTTTATTTCCATGCTGCCTAACTTCACCCTTTGTCACTCCTTAAGCTTCTGACTCACTTCTTCCTGATATTAGTTTATCTGTGAGCAAGGAATAAAACTTTTAGGCTAGAATATTTAGGTATTAAATAGAATGCAGGAAAGAAAGCAATTCTGTTATCAGCTTTTCTTTTTATTCCTCAGCCTCCTTCTCCCACCACAATCAGTGATGGTGATTGACTTTAAAATGAGAGATCTTTGGTAGAGGGGAAGGCTTTCCTGTTGGAGATTAGAAAAGCATATTGTGTGATGTTTCATTATCAGGAAAGGGGGAGTTTGAATCAATTTAGCTATTATTTAAATATATTTATTTCTTCAAATTTGTTTTTCATGCTGGTGATTTTAATTGAAAGGACTAGTTAAAATAATTTACCTCTTCCTAGCCTTTTATTTATTTATTCATTTTTCTGAGACAGCATTTCACTATCTAATCCTGACTACCTGGAACTCTCTGTGCATAGATCAGGCTGGCCTTGACCTCACAGAGTTCTTGGCCTTGAACTCACTCCACCTTGAACTCACTAGCCTTGAACTCATTCCACCTGTCTCTGCCTCCCGAGTGCTGGCATTAAAAGCATGTGCCACCATGCCCAGCTGCCTTTTTTTTTTCCCTTTGGTGTTAATACTTGTGGAAATGGTGCAGGGAAAGCCAGTTAACCAGGGAAGTCATATATTTTGAAAGGAAATATATCAAGTACCTCTTGGTGCGCTAAGGAGTCATTTTCTTAAATCATTAGCTGAGGGCTGAAGCTCCAGCTACTTTCTTTTTCTTGATGCCATTCTATTTAGTACAGGTTTGAAGAAGCAATTCAGAGAAAGGGGAAAGTGGAAACTTGGGTTCAGTAGTCCTGTGGCTCTGCCTTTGAGAGGTACTGTGTAATGAATACGGAAGCCTTTCTTTTTCAGGAAGATGAATGTGCAGGCTGTACAGACGGAACCTTCAAGGGTACGAGGTATTTCACCTGTGCTCTGAAGAAGGCACTGTTTGTGAAACTGAAGAGCTGCAGACCTGACTCTAGGTTTGCATCCTTGCAGCCTGTTTCCAATCAGATTGAACGGTGTAACTCTTTAGGTACTTGGACACTTTTCATTTATTTACCCATTTGGAATGACTCTATTTCATGTTGCTTTGCTTTATCTGATGGTGACAGTGTTTCAATTATTTTCCTGCCAATGTTCATGTTTCTAAGTCAGTAAAGATTGTTACTTGAGGCATAAGAAGGTTATCCTAAAAGGAGATGTTTTGAGAAAGTATTAATCAGAAAGTTTTCTTTCTTCTTCTTCTTCTTTTTTTTTTTTTTTTTTTTTTTTTTTTTTGTCTTTTTGAGACAGGGTCTCCCTGTAGCTCCAGCTGTCCTGGATTCACTCTGGAGACCAGGCTGGCCTCTAACTCACAGAGATCCGCCTGCCTTTGCCTCCTGAGTGATGGGATTAAAGGCGTGTGATCTAAAAAGGGAAAAATAGGGGGATGTTTTTCTCTTCCTTGTGACATTTCTCTTCCTTATAGACATTTATTTCCACAATAGGGAGGTAGAAATAGAAATACTGGCCATTTATTGCCATTGATTTCCCCAATATCTTAAGAATCTCAATCAGAGATACTCTATAAAGAAATCTGATAGCCTTGGGACACGAACAACTTGATAGATGGAGGACAGCTCTTTCATCACCTGTCATCATGGTCCTCATGCTGGCCCTTCCCATTTCTGAACAGTGGCGTGAAGCAGCTTGAGAGTCAGGCAGGTAAAAACAGGAAAGCTGTCTTTATGAAAAACACTTTTCTTAATGTTAAGGACTACTTCAGAGTTTTTTGTTTTCTTTTTACACTTGAAAATGAAACATTTTGGATAAATAACAAAATATCTATTTTACAGATGCTTTTTACACATGACTTAATTTTCTCAAGTGTTTTTTAAATTGTGGAGGAAGTGATGTTGAAAATGAACATTAGCATTTTTTATAATCCAAGATGACTAGTAGTTAACTAAAGGTTGAGAATTTTTGCATGAAATATCAAAATATATTTTGAATGAAGGAATGTATATGAGAATATATGCTATAATAGTTTAAAAGATTCTTTTCATTTTTCAGCATTTGGAGGCTACTTAAGTGAAGTAGTAGAAGAAAACACTCCACCAAAAATGGAAAAAGAAGGTTTAGAGATAATGATTGGAAAGAAGAAAGGGATCCAAGGTCATTACAATTCCTGCTATTTAGACTCAACCTTATTCTGGTAAGTTCAGAGTTCCTGAGTAGGAATAGAGAGTGCCCTGTGTCAGGGAGTGGTACAAGTGTGTGTGTGTGTGTGTGTGTGTGTGTGTGTGTGTGTGTGTGTGTGTGTGTGTGTGTGTATGTGTATTAAAGGAAGTGCCAGCTGCCTTTGAGGAGAGAAACTAGGTGATTGTGGGGTAAGAAAGGTCAGGAGATTTACTCATTGGAAGCTATGGAATTTTGGCTCTTGTTCCTATATCCCCATAGTTACTATAAAAATAATGCAGTGAATTATAGGTAAGAGGTATAGGGATACATGTGGAACAGATCTACTGAGGGCATCTGTGTGAATGTAGTGCCACTGCACACATGCCAAGTAATATGACTTGCAATAAGGCGTTGGCTGATGTGTGCTGCATTTGTTTTAGTGGGTGGAGATGATTGTAAAGATACTATGTTTTTAAAAATTATTTTCCATGAAATCACTATTTTCCCAAAGTGGAACAACTTACTATGATAAGAGTCATTAGGCTTTGAAGATTGAATCAAGGATCTCAGTTAAACTGAGTAGATCTGCCTGCTCTGCACCACTATGTCATGAGTTAAGTTTAACAGGAGAAGACAGAATAAAAGTGGTAGGCCATTTTTTTGGGAGAATACTTTTGTGTTGATAAAAATAAGTCTCATAGCTTTGATATAATATTCCTTAGATTTCCTGGTAAAACTCTATATTAGCCAAATGTTGTTTTCTTTGGTACCAGCAGCTTTCTGTTGTTAGTCACTCACAAGTTGTTTTAAAGAAATGTCTTTGGTAAACAGGGGAGCAAGAAATATATTGACACATGATTTCCAAATTCTTAAGCTGTCTGTGTGTAGTGTGACTTTGCTTTCTAAGCTCTCTTTCAGCTTTTGCAAACTAGTTTTCTTAAATTTTCTAGCATATTTTTAGACCTTCACACCATTGGTTTACTGTCACAGTCTCCGTGTTAGTAACCTTCACCAGGAGGGTTTCTGGGCCCTGATGACTGAAGCATGGGGCCTCTGCACTCTCTAACCATAGGGATTCTTACGTGGCTTCCATACTCCGCTTCTTTTCCTTTTCTGACTCCTTTTAGAATCTGTTTCTCAATTAATATGTTTATAACATGAGGAAAAATATTCTTTTATTTTGCAGCTTATTTGCTTTTAGCTCTGCTCTGGACACTGTGTTACTTAGACCCAAAGAAAAGAATGATGTAGAATATTATAGTGAGACTCAAGAGCTTCTAAGGACAGAGATCGTTAATCCTCTGAGAATGTAAGTAGATAAGCTGTATTATGCCTTTAGTTGCTGTTCTGTTTGCTATTTCCTTGCATAGTAACTAACTTATGCTTTGTGCTCATATAATAAGAAGTGAGTATAAATTAGTTCTTATAAAATATTTTTCAAAACTGTTAGTTTTGTACTTCTTTTGTTTACTTAATTTCTTAAGTCTGGCCAGTTTATAGAACATAGTATATTCCATGAAATGATGTAAACCATTTTGGCACTATGTATTTGTACAAGTTAGTAATTCACTCTATTAGAAACAGATAAAGTATACTTTAGTAACTTTTTTTTTTGTTTTGAGACAGGGTCTCCCTGTAGCCCCAGCTGGCCTGGAACTCACTATGTAGACCAGGCTGGCCTCAATCTCAGAGATCCTCCTGCCTCTGCCTCCAGAGTGCTAGGATTAAAGGCCTGTGCCACCATGCCTGGCAGTAACATATTTTTTTATTTAATATTTTTATTTTTATGGGTGTGAGTGTTATGCCTGCATGTATGTAGGTGCACCATGTGTGCAATCCCCACAGAGGCCAGAAGAGGGTATCAGATCCCCTGGAGTTGGAAGTTAGGGGTGATAATGTTAGTTGCCATGTGGGGGCTGGGAACTGAACCTGGGACCTCTCCAAGAGCAGCCAGTGTTCTTAACTGCTGAGCCATCTCTTCAACCCCAGTAATATGTTGGCTCCTTTACTGAGGTCAGTCTTTCTCTGTTTTCTAGTTTAAGAATTATAAATATGGTTGTTACTTATTTTTTGCCTTAGCAGGCAGTTTGTAATGGTATAAACATAGGTGACAGAAGACCATGTGGCAAAGACTTTGATATGTGATGATGCTATATGAAAACACTACATGTAGTAATCAAGAATTAATTAAGGCTATTGATGATAAAATAAATTTGGTTTGGAATACAGAGAGCAAGCTATGCAATTTAAAGTTCATATGATAAATTTTAAGTTTTGTTGGTAAAAAAAAGGACAAGAAATCAGGTGAGGGGATTATTAAGGGGGAGTTCAGATAGGGGAAAGAGTCATGAAATTCTAAAAAATTCAATAAAATATTAAAAAATAAAACTCATAACTCTAAAACTAAAAAAAATTAAATGTATTTTCCTATTTAACAATGAAAACAAAAAATAACTTGATATAAAGATTTTGACAAAAATAGCAAGATACTGGGACTGGAGAGATGGCTCAGCAGTTAAGAGCACTAGCTGCTTTTGCAGAGGACCCAGGTTCAGTTCCCAGCACCACATGGTGGCTAACAACCACCCCTAATTCCAACTCCAGGGGATTTGATGCCCTCTTCTGACCTCTGAGGGCATTGTGCAACATGAATGCATTTATATACATGTAGATACTACACTACACATTAAAAATAAAATAGCAAGATACTGAAATACAAGCATTCCAGATGACTTGCTGTTTTACATAACTCAGAAAGTAAATTATCTTACCCTTTGTTTTGGTTTTCACTTTATTTTGCCTTATCAATTTTTTTTTTTTTTTTTTGAGACAGGGTCTCCCTGTAACCCCAGCTGGCCTAGAACTCACTGTAGAGACCAGAGTGGCCTCCAGTCTCACAGAGATCCACCTGCCTCTGGGATTAAAGGCCAGCACCACCACATCTGGCTTATGCAAATTTTAAGCAAACTTTCAGATTTTTTTTCTCCATGTAAATGACACTAGAACAATACAAGTCAAATCTCAACTCTAAGGCATATTACCGCACCCCTTTTTCTAAAACACCATGAATGCATTAATAAGCATTCTGTTTGCATACTGTTGCCCAACCAGTTTAGAATCATAGTTCATCCAGTTAATTGTGCTGTCTTACCCTGTCCATACTAAGGTACTTGTTAGATGCTGGCCTGTGAGATCAAGATGTATCTTGCTAGGTGTGATATATATGCCTGTAATTCCAGTATTTGATCACTCAGGAAGCTGAGGCAAGATCACTTCTGTGAGATGAGGCACAAGCCCACAAACTTTTCCTGTCATTTCCTGTGTTTGCTACACTCATATCTGTTGTTTGGACTGAGATGCGCTTTCACTATTGAATTCTCAAAGACAGAGACAGCCTTTTTTTTTTTTTTTTCAAATCTTACTCCTTTAGGTTATAATGTAAATGGTAGGTGCACAGTGTATGCTGATTGCAAAGAGCTAATGAGTGAGTGAATAGCCAGTATAAGAAGATTGGGTGTTTCTTACTTGCCCTTCCTTAGCCCACGTTGGCCCCTAAGGTTCTTGTCTGAAGCCATTTTTGAGCTAGGATTTTGTCAGTGATTGAGTTTATTGAGTGTGTCCTGTATTCAAGGAAAGATGAAAGAAAATAGTATAAATTATGTTGACTGGTTTGATTGCGACTTTAGATTTCCAATATCTCATCAATTCCCTTTTCCATAGTCCTTAGCCTTTGGTATTAAAAGGACTTTCTTGAAATTGTATATCTTATTTTATAAAGTAATAAAATGCTTATGCTTTAATATCATAAGCATATATTTTTCACTAAGGCTTTAAAATATTTAAAAATTATATTAGTATATCATAGCTATTTTAAGGTGTTTAGTAGTGTCTAGAGCAATTCTGGTTCAGCTTTTACTTTTCAAACTTTAGTAAGAAGCATTTAATTATACTTTGCTAGTGTCAGTTAATTATTTTTTTTAATTAACAGATATGGATATGTGTGTGCCACAAAAATTATGAAACTGAGGAAAATACTTGAAAAAGTTGAGGCTGCATCAGGATTTACCTCTGAAGAAAAAGGTTGCCCTCTTAATTTATAGTACATGCATTGAAAATAACAAGAAAGCAGGTTATTTTGCAACATGCTAAATTATTTCCTGAAATGTGCCTGTATAGTTTGGGGATTTAATTTAATTTAATCACCTAAAAATGAGTGTGATGTGAGGTAATGAGATCCTTAAGAAGCTGGCTGGTTCTGCTCTTTCAGGTGGCTCTGTGGAGCATTCTTTCCTTTCTGTCCAGCAATGACATTCTGCCTTGCTCCTTGTTCTGAGTCACTCACGTTCTCCAACCTGGTCTTTCTTATTGTAAAAGGAGCTACAGAAGATCTGACTTAGGGTTACATCTGTGCTCACTGTTTCAGTCTATTCACAGCTAATGAATTTACTCAAAAATTCAACTTCTGACTTTAAATTTGTTGACTGTATACTATAACCTTGATATTTAGAGACATGATGATTACTTAAACAGCAAGGAAATGTAGGGCATATTTCAGGTTTTATTCTACTTAAACCCAATAAGAGAAAAATTATTTCACTCTGTGTGGATGATTATATTCTTTTAAAGATGATACAAAATTAAAATGTAACATTTTATCATAACCTTTACATATATTTTATAGTTTTTCTTTGTCAGGAAAGCTTCAAAACTATACTTTTAATTGAAAATGTTATAACACTGAATAAGTGACATTTAGTTCCGTGTAGAAGTGTGGCTGCTATAAAGAACAGAATGGTTTAAAATTTTTGCCTGTTTTTTATTTGATTTTTTTTTCTTTTCTCCTAGATCCAGAAGAATTCTTAAATATCTTGTTCCATGATATTCTAAGGGTTGAGCCATTGTTAAAAATAAGGTAATTCTCGAATTGTCATAGAGGCATTGGAAAGTGGACCTTTCTCTTTCCCACCTCCATCATTCAATAGGAATGAGTACCTTGCCAATGACTGCACATATTATCTGAGTTCTTAATTAAGCTATATAAGTATAAATGTAAGTTTTTACTAGTTACTGCTCTCTCTCTAATATTACACTTAACTTGAAGAATACAGGTGAACTTGTACTTTTAATCAACCTTAAAATAATAAATACTCTTAAAATTTATTTTCTTTTAAAATGGAGTATGAGTATTTTTGGAAGTTCAATTAATGAACTTTTCAAGACAATCTCATTCTAATATAATCAAAAACTATGAGAGCATTATTTTTGACTGCCCGTCACCAACAGAGCTTAGTTAGACTTCCATTTGAACCTCGACCTTTTCCTTTTCCCCGTGTTGAAGGAATCCTGTGAGATTAATGCAATATAGTTCTTAGTGAGATGTTTTTGAATGTTGGAGCTTCACAGGTGGTTTGAGTGTTCCTGAATAGTACATCATTCATCATTTTAGCTTGGGATTTTTTTTTAAAAATCTTAGTCGTGTACTATCACTTCCTTAAAAGCTCATCATTGATGAGTTCTTACCTCTGTGCCTAAGTGATGCTGTTTGAAACTAGTGTTCAAGTGATGTGTGGGAAAAGGAATGCAGGCAGGAAAGTGCCACAGCTAAAGTCTGAGAATTTCTGTGAATTCCTGTGAGATGACATGATCCATCAGGTATAACAGTTATGTATGTACCTACAAAATTATAGAGAATTATCTAAAAACTACTAGAATTACCAAATTATTTATAATTTATCCATGTAAAAATAATCATGGGCAAATTAGCAACATTTTTGTATGCCTTCAAGCATATATGAAAGGGGAATATTTTATGTTTCAGGAAAGAAAAATACTAAGTAATCAATTTTATTAAGATGGAGTTTCTAAAAATTTACCTAGAGACAGGCATGATCATGCACACCTTTAATCCCAGAACTTGGGAGCCATAGGTAGGTGGATCTTACTGGATTGGAGGCCCACTGGTCTATATAGCAAGTGCCAGGCCAGCTAGGGCTACAGAGAGACCCTGTCTCACAAAGACAAACAAAACGAAACAACAACAACAAAAAAAAACCTTATGTACAACCAAAAGGTGATTTGATTAATTAATGAGAAATAGTGTGGTTTAGGTAGGAAAATTAAATAACTTAAAGATACTATTATTTTACAAAATAATTTGCACATTAGCAAGATCTTAACCTATTTTTGAAACGCAAAATGATTTTAGAGTTTTCTACAAAATAAGGTAGTGAAAGTTTCTTTTATTTGAAAGATGAGGTCTATTATAATTTATAAAGGCAGAGCAATAGGCATTAAAATAGTATATAATTAGAAGTATTGATAAATAGAATTGAATAGCAAGCTCAGGAGTGTTTAAAGTATCTTAGAATTCAGCCTTCAGACATAAATGGGAAAGAAAAAATATCTTAATATAAGACATCTAGCAGATAGCTGTGGGAAAATGCTTAGTTTTGTTTTCTGACTTTTTAAAGAGCGGAACAAATATAAATGAACATTTATTAAAGAAAACTGAGAAAGAACTCCTGAGAGTGGGAGGGACTTCAATGAAGGAATACCCTGTTTTTACCTTTTAAAGAAATAAATTGCAGATACGTAAATTAGTTGTTTATATCCTTAAGTTTTTTTTTTTTTTTCCTAGCCTACCCATACCTAAGTGATACCAAACTCCCCAGGCTTAATATAGGTTGAATACTGCAGTGAGTCTCAGACAGGTCTGGCATTGCTCACACTAAGGTCTTGTGGAGTTTGGGATGGGCTCTGGGCAGTTCTTATATTCCAAGGAATATACCCCCGCCCCAGAAGCAACCACTGTCTAAAGACTGTTAGGTTAGTCTCCCTCCCCTAAAGTGTCATTTCTCTCTTGAACTTGCTCTCCCCCATACACCTGTTTGTTTTCTGAGAGGTCAGCTGACAGAATCAATAGAAAATTGAGTACCCTTACAAGTGAGAAGTGAGAACAGCTCAGAAGAGGTAGTAGGAAACTTTTAAATGATCAAAAAGACAAAAGAAAGACTAAGACCAATGGAGGACAAAGTAGATTTGACCAACTAAATCAAATAAGCAGGCAAAAGTCGAGGGAGGGGTCTCAGTCAAGAGGGTGCAGTGGGAGAGGAGCTTGCTCACTAGAAGCTGGAACTGAGGAAGTGGCACTAATGGAGCCCAAAAGTAAAGAGAGGGTGGGACATGGAGGGTAGATTATAACCAAGTTCCTCAAGGAGATGCTGAGAGAGCAGGAAGAAGCAGTGTTGATGAGATTTTGAGAATTTTGATAGTCTTAATTCTAAGAATAAAAATGTATGGAATTCCCAAAGAACCAAGACTAAATTACCACTCAGAGACTTACTTAAAAACCACCAACAATGATGGTAATGAGGATGACTAGCTACACGTGCAACATTAAAGAGGAAGTGAAACTAAAGCCATTATCAAGAGAGAATGTGATTGGAGGTGGGCAACATGTGGAATAATGTTAGCAGTCAAGAAGCAAAGATAAGGGGATTTCAGATTGTGTGAGTGAAACATCTGAAACATGGTCTGGCTTCTTTTTTTTTTAATGGAAGGAAAGGTTTACTTTGGCTCATAGTTTGAGGCTACAGTCTGTCATGGTGGGGAAGCCGTGATGTCAGGAGCATGAGGCAGCTGGTTTCACACTGCATTTCAGTCAGGAAGCAGAGGGAGATGAATGCTGGTGCTCAAATCACTTTCTTCTTTTTATTCAATCTGGGACCCCAACCCATGGAATGGTGCTGCCCACATTTAGGGTGGATCTTCTACCTCAGTAAGTACACCACATGTATTCTTGATACCTAGGGAGGCCAGAAGAGGTCATTGGATCCCCTGGAACTGAAGTTCTAGATGGTTGATGAGCAGTGCACCATGTGGGTACACTTGTATTGTGTAGTGCCTGTGGAGGTCAGAAGAAGGTGTTGGATCCCCAGGGACTGGAGTTAGGATGATTGTTAGCTGCCATGTGGGTGTTGGTAACTGAACCCTAGTCTTCTTCAAGAGCAGGAAGTGTTCTTAACCTCTGATCCATCTCTCCATCCCCCAAGCATATCATTTGTAAGTTGTTACAACCTTTCATCATTTGTCCCTTTAGACTCATGGCCATCTTAGAATGCACATATATCCAGTCCCACTTCAAAAGTCTCCATAATCCTAACAGTTCTAACACTTTTTAAAAGCGTAAGTGCAGAGTCTCTTCTGAGACTTAGGTAGTCTTATAACTGTGACGCGCTGCAAAATCAATAAACAAGTTTCATACTTGTAATATGCAGTGGTGAATACTCTTCATTCCAAAAGGGAAGAATGAGAGCATAGCAAAGAAATATTGACGAAAATAAGACTGAAACCCAGTAGTATGAACACTGGAGTTAGGCTGCCCAGGCCCTGTACCCTAGATGATTCCATCATGAGTCCCAGACACCCAACATGGAGCTGTAGGATTCGGGTATTCTTAGGTGGGCAATGTCATATCTGCATTATATTTAATCTACTGAGTAACTCAGATATATATATATATAAATAGAAGTTCACAAATCCATGTTTTTATATTCATATTTGTAAAGTGTGGGTGCCATTATCTTTGAAAGTTGCCAAGTTTGTATTCTTGTGCCCTTGGAGTGTCCTCAGCTGAGGTTGGGGCTTCTTCTACACTTCTCCATTCCTATGCTACGTTTTTTTCAGGCTTGAGCTTGCATGGGTCTTATGCATGCTGCTACCATTGCTGTGAGTTCATATGAATAACTTCCTAGCTGTCTGGAAAACTCTGTTTCCTTGTGGTCATCTACCACCTCTGGCTCTTACAATCTTTCTTCCTCCTCTTCAACAATGGTCCCTGAGCCTTGGATGGCAGAGATTTGATATAGGTGTCCTACTCAGGGATAAGCACTCCTTTTATTCTCTGCAATTTGTCCAGTTATGGCTTTCTGTGTTAATCATCATCTGTTGCATGAGGAAGCTTTGCTGGTGAGAGTTGGGAGATGCATTAATATTCTTTCTGTTCCCTGTTCTACTGTTCCCTAAGCCTTCAGTGTAGTAGTTGCATTGTAGATGTGTCAGTTATGGCTAGGCACCTCACAGACATTTATTCTCTGCGTTTGACCAGTTGTGGAACTTTGTAATAGTCTCCATCTGTTGCAAAAAGAAACTTCTTTGGTGAGTGGTGAGAGGTACACATGTCTGTAAATATAAGGATACATATTTAGAATACAGTAAGAAATTATGCTGGTTTAAGGATCTGATAAAAAGGGTTTTCTTTAGGATTTATGACCCCTCTAGCCATGTGTATTTGGCTATGTTTACAGTACCACACATGAGTTCCCTCCCATCGAGCAGGCCTGTCCAATTTGACAGCTGTTGATTAACCTCAAGATAAAAGTGCTATTACTTGCTGGGCTGGTCATTGTTGTGCTTCATAGACTTTAAAGCTGGGTGGAATCATTGATTGGTTTTATCTCTTAGCAGTTTGCATAGTATCTTTTGATACTGTGGGAGCTAATTTCAGGGAGGAGGCTTCTAGGTCAGTTCTAGCTCCATTGCTCCAAGTCTTGTGTCCAAAGTATGTCCTGTCTTCAGCAATAGGATCTTACCTTCAAGTTCTGGGAGGCAATCAAAGGCTATGACAATAGCCGATGTTATTTTGGGAGTCACCACGAGAACTTTTAAATAAGTTACAATAAAGCAAGAAACCATTTATCTGATTTTCTGCATAAGTACATTTAGTTATTTCATGTGAATCATTGTCTTCTGTGTCCTGGTACTTGGACTATCCAAAGCTGCATTTCAGTGTCATGGCTTTGTATTCTCAGATCCTGCTGGGACAGCCTCACATTCTGACTTAAGCACTTAATAGCAACCTTACATGTGTTTCTTTCTGCATGCTCTTAGATCAGCGGGTCAAAAAGTTCAAGACTGTAACTTCTATCAAATTTTTATGGAAAAAAATGAGAAAGTTGGAGTTCCAACAATTCAGCAGTTATTAGAATGGTCTTTTATCAACAGTAACCTGAAATTTGCTGAGGTTAGTGATATTTACTGGGTTTTTTTGTTGTTGTTTTGTTTCTTAGCAGTGCTAAGGGTTAAACCCAAGATTTTTGCACAAACTTTACAACTCTCAGTGCTCTCCCACTGAAGCACACACAAACTACACAAACACACACATACAAACACACATACACACACATACACACATACATACATACACATAAACACACATACACACATATACACACATATACACACACACCTGTGTTCCACCTTTGTCCTTCTTATATAAAGTACCTTAGACTTTTGGATTTGGATTTCCAAAGAAAACAAACTAATTTGAAACTTGAAGACTTTTAAAGTATCTTACTTCCAAAGATATATATCTAAATGTATCAAAGGTAATCTTTTCTCCATTTAAGAGATAAAATGTCAGTAAATTTATCTGTATTGGTTTGTTAATGAACAAATGATGCAAATTTTCTTTTTTACTGTTTATTGAGTGTCTGTCATTTTAGTAGTACATGCTTGTGGTTTGTTTTTATCATGTTCATCTGCGGTGAGTTTTGGTAAAACTTCAGTGACCAGTTATTTATTTGCTGATGGATAAAGAGTAGCATCTTCTGTGATGAGGTAGTTTGCTGCTGCTCTGGTCCACGTTGCACATTCATGTGTGAGCCTTTTCACAGGCCACTAGCACTGTGATGAAAACTGCTGCTTGACTTAACAGCCATAACTATTTCAGTATCACAGGAAAACATTTTTTTAGCTCTTCTTCCCTCAGTGCTGGGGTATTGTGCATGCTAGGTGAGCACTCTGCCACTGAACTGAATCCCTAACCCTAGTGCCCCAGGACTTTGATTTCTAAAAATATGTATCTTTTGTTTTAAAGGCACCATCATGTTTGATTATTCAGATGCCTCGATTTGGAAAAGACTTTAAACTATTTAAAAAAATTTTTCCCTCTCTGGAATTAAATATAACAGATTTACTTGAAGACAGTAAGTATACAATATTTTTAGCTTACTTTGTTTATTAGAAATAGTCTTCCTGGTCTCTTCATTGGTTGTGGATATAATACTTCTGGTAGGCAATTCAGTAGCCAAAGAGCCTGGACATATCAAGCCAATAATTTGAGTTCTGGGAATTTATTCTGAAAAAAATAGAAATAAATCTTTTTTTATGCAGAAATACTTTTCTTATAACTAAGAAATTAGAGCTGGTCACATGCGCCTTTAACCCCAGTACTCAGGAGGCAGAGGCAGGCAGATTTCTGTGAGATCAAGGCCAACCTGGTCTACATAGTTCCAGGCAGGCTGGGGCTAGGGAGACCCTGTCTAAAACAAACAAACAGACAAACAAAAAAGGAAAGAAATTAGAGGCAATTAAATGTTAATGAGAGGGATGTGGTTGAATGAATTATATATCTGTAAATAAAACTACTACTGCTCACGTTCATGGTTTTGAAGATAATGTTTATGAAAATAGTCATGATGCCATAGCATTGGAAAGGCAAGTACATGCATGGGCTATGCAAGAGAAGCTTGATACAGATACATGTGCCTGTATGTGCAGACACAAGCACAGGTAAAAAGATGTGAAGATAAAGTTCAGAGTATTGACAGTGATTGTCTTTGCTGACTAAAATCATACCTGCTATCAATTTTCTTTATGCTTTCTTTACTTTGGACATTTTATAATCAGTGAAAATTCTAGAATAGGCTATCAAAACTAGTTATTTGAAGAAAATACCGTTAAAGATATTCCAAATCTAAGAAAATCCAACTGAAAGTTTAAGAGGATCAGAGAGGGTTGGACTTTATTTTTGTTTGTTTTATTGAGACAGGGTCTCCCTGTAGCCACAGCTGTCCTGGAGCTTACTATGTAGACCAGGCTGGCCTCAATGTCACAGAGATCGCTTGCCTCTGTCTCCTGGGTGCTGGGATCAAAGGTGTGCACCACTACACCCAGTCAGACTTAAAAAAAGTAAATAAAGCCCTGAATACTCTGCTTTTACACAAACTTTACAAAAACTTAACTTTTCTTTTTAATGGAAGAACGTGTGTTTAAACTCCCCCTCCTTCCCCTCTGCACACATTTCAGCTCCCAGGCAGTGCCGGATCTGTGGGGGACTTGCAATGTATGAGTGCAGAGAATGCTATGATGACCCAGACATCTCAGCAGGGAAGATCAAACAGTTCTGTAAGACCTGCAACACTCAGGTAATCCGCCCCCACCTAATGGATGAACTCTGTGCAAGAGTAAGTTTTTGGTGGTTGAAAACATTGCAGAGTTTAAAAAGTCACTGAAAATCATAATTCACTTTAAAAATTCATAATAAAATGTTATTGCTTGTGCCTCTTCTATTGGTTTGATAAGCGTCTGTGAGACACTTTGTTGCTGTGTATGAGAGAAGTCTTCAGTGATAGTTCTTGGGGTCTCCCACTTGAAACATCATGTTCTGCTCAGCTCTGCTCATTCATGGCATAGCCCCTCTTCATCATCTATTTTAGGTCCACCTTCATCCCAAGAGGCTGAATCATACATATAACCCAGTGTCACTCCCCAAAGACTTACCTGACTGGGACTGGCGACATGGCTGCATCCCCTGTCAGAAGATGGAATTATTTGCTGTTCTCTGCATAGAAACAAGCCACTATGTTGCTTTTGTGAAGTACGGGAAGGATGACTCTGCATGGCTCTTCTTCGACAGTATGGCTGATCGAGATGGTATTTAAAATCTCTTCTTCTGTATCCAGCAGCCTTTTAGCTTGGAGTGGGATGGTTCCTAGTGAGATAGCTTGTTTAGAATAATAAGATATTTTGTGAGAAAAACCCCTTTAGGAGTATCATGGTGATACGACTTACATCTTCAAATAAATTGACAGCTCTACAATTAAAGAATCTTGGACAGTTGTGGTCGTACATGCCCATAATTCTAGCTCTTGGGAGGTGCAGGAAGGACGCTTGTGAGTTGGAGAACCTGTCTCAGCTTGCTCCCACCTCAAAAAGAAAAGGGGGGACAGAGTGATGGAGGGGAGAGGGGGAAAGAGAGAAAAGAATCCTAAAAATTCTTATTTTAAAGCTGAGAGAGTTTTTGTTGCACTTCTTGTTTTTGTGTAAGCCATAGGAGCCATTTATTAAGCACCTATATGTCGAGCTCTTTGGGAATACATTTATCTTGGAATGATTCCTATTTTTATGTTGTTAAAGTTGAAGTTCAAGGGGGCTAAGATTGTATGGTTTATGTCGAACTCAGGCTTTCTGATCTTACACATTGTATTTCAGGAAGAAACGTATGCCTGATCTGTTTTAGAAAGCTTAGTCGTTACTTAATACACACGCTTGCGTGCCAGGGACTCAAGAGGTCTTGGTAGTGAAGTGCTTATCATGCCCAATTTCCCTTTAGCCATTCTTTCAAACCCTAGTCTCCAAGGTTTTCTGATGTGGCTGCCTAACAACCTCATGCCACCCCCAGTGGCAGCCTCTGGACCAGAGGCCAAGCTCTAGACCACATCTTCTCAGTATCTTCTCAGCTCCCAGATGCCTGAGGGGTGCAGCAAACCCCTCCTGTGTCTCTGCCCCAACCCTAGTTAGCATTAGCAGCATGCATTTGGGAAAGCAGCTGGGAGAGCTAAACCAGAAAGGCTTCCTTAGAATTAGAGCATCAGAGCATCTTCACACAGTCTGATCATCAGTGTGTAAAACAAACCATGTACAAGTATGTTTTTAAAACTTTGGGAAATGTTGTGGTGTGCATGTTACCAGATTTTCTCAGAATTAGACATTCTTATGGAAAAGAGTACTTGCCTGCTAGAACCCTTTCAGAAGACAAGGAATGAAAAATTTGATGAATTAAAGGAGACTGTAATTCTAGAAACCAGAAGTGAAACCAAGTCTTCACAATATGAGAGTTAGCCTTCACTGAACTCTAGGACTGAAATTGTTCTGGTGGGACAGGGTGCCAAGATGGTTTAGATGTTCCCTGCCCTAAAGAGAGCTCTCCTCTTCTCTCTAGGCGGTCAGAATGGCTTCAACATTCCACAAGTGACGCCCTGCCCAGAGGTGGGAGAGTACTTGAAGATGTCTCTGGAGGACCTGCATTCCCTGGACTCCAGAAGAATTCAAGGCTGTGCACGAAGACTTCTTTGTGATGCGTACATGTGCATGTACCAGAGTCCAACCATGAGCTTGTACAAATAACTGGGTCACCTGAGAGGCGCATGGACTGAGCATAGAGCTCAGAGTTGTGTTTTCCCCCAGCTGGTGGTTCGTCTAGTGCCCATTGCCGGCAATGGGTGTCTTTGTAGTGATGGCCCTTCAGCAAAGGATTCCTGTGTTTCCAAACAAATTGCTTTTGTGTTTCTGAAATATTTAATAAGAAGCCTTTTGCACTCTAGAAAGTACGTCTGTGTTGTTTTTTTAAAAAGTCTAAATGAAGTTCTTAATACCTGAAGCTTTAAGTTAAGTGCATTGATTATATGATATTTTTGGAAGCATACAATTTTAATTGTGATGTTTAAAACCTCTTTTGGTCCGTTGAGAATGTAAATAAATATTTCTTCTTTATGGACCAAGGATATGAAATCATTTTTCTTTTGTAGCTAATGGTTGCTTTGAGGAAGAAATAACTTGGTTTTACACTGAGTCTACCTTTAATCCAGTTGTTCAAGGTGTACTGAGTTTGACTTGTTAATTTTTTCCTATATAGTGCTGATCTCCTGCATGTCTGTGATCTGCTGAGATTCTGTGTTTCTGCAGCAGTAGTCAGAAAATACTGAAATTCCTTTAATAGTGTTGTTTTCTATTTGTTTTGGCTTTGAGATAAATGAGTGATTCTGTCATAAAATGTCCATTTTTGATGTAATCTTATTGGAGGATTAAGGTACTTAGCACTTAAACCTAAGTCATAGTAACAACTCAGTCATAGTAACAACTGTTACCTAGCGGGTTTTTTGTAGGGGTTCTAACTATTTTGAGGAACAAGGCACAGTAATTTATGAAGTGATTGGAGTGATGAGTAAATAATATATTCTTACACAAATATATAGTCCTTAAGAAAATTCGGCATATAGACATTACTAACATTTCCCTGAAGAGATGGATTACATATTTAAAGCTCTCATTTTAAAAACTTTATTTTTAATTTATTTTAAACAAACCTCTCTTAATTTAAATAGCTTGAGATTTTGTTTGTCAGTGAGCCTTACACCCATTGGCATCAGTTTTGTTTCACTTGAGATAATGATCACTCTGAATCAGGTTCACTACAGGACAGCTAGTGACAACTGCACCCTCCTGAGTGAAGACTTAGGAATGGACATTGTCTTAGGGCCTGCCTGGAGCGTGCATAGACTCTGGAGTATAAATGTCAGTGCTATGGGATGCATGTTCTCTGAGTGTTGTTTTGTGGTGTGGTTGTCTTTCTGGACTAAATTTTCAGCTTTGCAGAAAGACAGAAAAGATGTTATATGTGTAGCATATGACTTTATAAATATTTAATGTCAAAAAGAGAGTCTTTATAAGCCCTGAAGTTATTTTTTTAAGACACTTTTACTCCTTGGTTTTATCATTCCATTTACTAGTATGTATCAGCTTTATAAATCGTAAGGCACCAAAGCTCCCCCATCTTGTAACCTTTTCACTTTTGCAATGGAAAGATACATACATTCTGCACAGAGTTTGCTGTAGCTGAATGCCCAGGCTGGGTTGGGAGGCCATGGCTGGCTTTGCCTCCATCACCCTGGGACAGGTGAGGATGGGGAGCATCAGGTCTGGGTGGTGTCCTAGCTCTGATCACCCAGAGTTCAGTTGCCCTGTAATAAGTATGTGCTGACTGAGTTCATTCGTGTGTCTTTAAAATGTTGACTGAAGAATGATCAGGAATCTGTGTATAGTCAAGACTGGATTTAACAGTGGAAGGGGAGTGAGAGAAGGCAGTTCCTTTACTGTAAAAATGGAAACAGAATCCGTGCTGGGGGATATAACCATTTGGCTTCCAGAGTAGAAGACTCAAAGATTGTTCAGCAAATGGTTCCAGAGTTTTGGGCATGGAACTTTCTTTTTAATGAGCAGGACCTTGTCTGTAAACGATCCTCAGCAATATTTCTCCAGGTAGCACTTTGTAGTCAGGGAGGGATCACACTTTAAAGAGCCCAGCTCCTGTGGCTGGGGAGGCCTGAGAACCACAGGCCAGCTGGGAACTTCTCTCCCCTATCCCTTCTCATCATTCTGAATAGTCGCTCCTCATTCCTTGTTCCAACAGAGCCTGGTTTGCCAAGGAGGTGGCAGGGCTGGACTGCATGGCACACATGGTCCATGTGCCCGTTGATTTAATCTGTAGTCCTGTTTTCGTAATACTTCCCTTTTGGCTTCTTAAGTGTTTTGATTGTTCTTTTTCTGATTTGTAGCTACAAAGGGAAAATATATGAAATCATATTTATTCTTCCACCGTGAAAAAAATCTACCTATGATGTATGTATGGCGATGGAAAAGAGAAGGGGGGAGTTTGAAAGAGAGAGAGAAGGAGAGAGAGAGGTAGAAAAAGCATTGAAAAACAGTAACAAAAATCTATGTGACATAACTGTTGCAGTCGTGGATTTTCTCCTCAGAATAGTTTGTTTTTATTGTACATTTCCCAAATGCTTAGGTAAATGGCCAGCCACATCATACCTTAGGTTCATGTATTTCTTACAGACACTCTCTTGAGAACAAAGGATGACATAGCGTTTAATCTTATGAAGCTTATCAACTTTGTTTGTCTGAATGTGGCATCTTCATAAATTTAGGCGTTTATGACCTCCCCAGCTGGATCTTGGAATCCAGCTAGATAATTTCGCATCTATTTGGATGGTCCTACACTGAGATGGGTATGTAAACTGTGGTGTCCAACTAGGTTGAGTAACTGCCGACAGGCATCTATTGGACATTTATTTGGTGCCTACGATGTGTCACAGGCCTGGTGCCTGTTCTTGCAGCTTACCACCCAATTTCAGCAACAGAACATCTCAGTGCTTCCTTAGCCTAGGAGTGGATGACGGGCCTCCTGGGGGACACTGTGAAAAGCAGCGAAGTGTAACAGGGAAGGAGAGGACAAGGGACAGAAACCAGGGTGTCCTTTGTTACTTGCTCTGTAGCCTCAGATGACATCTTGATTTTCTGCGCTCTAATTTCTTCCTCTACATATTGAGGATTAAACTATTAAGTTTTACAGGAAGAAAAGAAAACCAATATGTATTTTAAGGCCCCAGGCATACCTGCTGGATCTGATTTCCTACTGGAGGTAGGAAACCTCAAGTCAATAGAACCCAGTGACGAGCAAGCGTGAAATGGAGGAGCTGGAAGGCCTTGTGACCCCTTCTGTTCTTTCAGTATTCAATGATGCTCTTGTAATCACCATTCTGTTACTGTGTAGGTGGGTGTTTACTATGTGTCTATCTGTGTTTACATACAAACTTGTAAGCAGTGTGTTTTGGTATGTGTACCTTAGGCCTCTGTTTCCTAAAGGCGTTGTGGTCTTTGGAACATAAGTCAGTCTTAAGAGGATATTTCCTTCCATTCTATTTCTACAGGGAAAATTGAGGCTCTGGGAGCCAGAGAAATAGACAAAATTCTCATGCAAATCTGTGGAAAAAAAATCACTTAATTTTTATCTACTACTTGATGGTGAAAATTTTAAAATTACATGGAAAGATTTTTTTTCTGGGACAACAGGTCCTCCTGCCATAAATAGGATATTCTTCTTAAAGGAGTCATGAGGCCTGCAATGAAAAACGGGAACACCTTCCTTAGGCCTGGCGATTCCAGCCCCAACCTCATTTCTCCGTCAGTTAAAATAGTCCTTCAGTTCCCTAATGCAGTTGGGTGGGCAGACAAGAGTGGACTCGTGAGTAAAGGGGGAGGGGAGGGGCGAGGAGCTGAGTCCCTCAGGGTAGAGGTCAGGGCCCACAGGAAGGTGTTGCTTCTGTGGCTCCTGGGATTGGCCCTTTTGTCAAAGGTATCAGAGTGAGGCTTCTTTTGGGGAGTTAGCCTTGCCCTTGTCTGAGCTTCTGTCAGTGTCTTCCCAAATGTGGGAAGGGATGGGATTCGAGATCATCTTTTTAAAATTCTAAATCCTCCAGTAGCTAAAGCTAAAGGCTTTCTCTTGAGTCCAAAAACAGTGACAGAAAGCTGAGCACAGAGATGCAGGAGCAGTGAGGGGTGGGGATAGACCTTTCCCGATGGCCCCACGTGGCGGTGCCTGGACTCAAGTGCCCTGGGCTTCTAACCTGTCTGACCCTTTGTCCTGTCAGTTATCACAGTTTTGCCTCATTGTAACCCTCATTCCTCTTCCTGAACAGTTCAGGGAGAAGAACTGTCCATGGATGAATTGCCCTTATGGGCACCATGGGCGCCATGGGCTTCAGCACAATTCTCTTGTGCTTTTAAACACCACCCACTTTTACGTTTTATTTATTCTAGGGGGATTATACTCAGCTCTCTTTAGTTTTACATTATGAAATGGCCTTGTACTGTGGAATGCTAACTCTGGAAAGTAAGCATCATACTGTAAAGATTCATTTGACAAATCCCACTGGAATTCCCAGGGATACGTGGTTATTGGCAGACTGATGCATAGGAGTACATTTTGTACTACATTTCCATTTCTGGTATCATGTTCCACATTTTTGCCTGAAGAACACCCTATGTTTATGAAAACATGAATAACATCACAAACACTCCCTTACTATCAGAATGCTCTGATTTAGCCTTAATTTTATTAAACTTTTTAGAGACGAATGAAGTGCTGCTGTGGAATGAAATGTACTATATATTTCTGTATCATTAAAATGAAATTTTTATGGTTATTTTCTCCTTGGCTTCTTTAGGGGAAGCGTCTCCGGGTTATGGGAATATAGGAGTTGGGTCTTTACAACTTCTCCAGTGTTTTCAGTGTGCTGGTTGTACAAGATGCCTGAGCCAAACGGATGCCATCTCCAGGAGTTCTGCTGTGTCCACTTGCAAAAGATGGTCACAGCTGGGCTTGTTGACTGTCAACCTCCCCTCATAGGAGGGGCAGGGAGGGTCCTGAGACCATCACCCAAGCATCCAGCCACTCTTCCCAGCCAGTTGTGGCCAATTTGGTCCTAATTGCTAGTGGCCTGGGGGAAAGGCTAGTATATTTAGGCTGGGGAAGACTGAGGGAGGGGCTCTATTTATGTGGCTAAGGAGAAGTCTTATCCTTGCTGGGTGAAGACTTTCCAGTGCAGCCTTGGGGGAAGGGGAACACCCTTCACCCCTCACCCATTGCTCCGTGAGTAAGCCCAGGAAACTCAGTTGTTCCCCAGAGTGCACTTTGGTGGAATCAGTAGTGGGACCAAGGGAGGAGGGGGTGGCCGTTATTTACATCTCCCTCAGGGAGGAAATTTACCAAGAAGGAGCCAGGAAAGAAGTGCCCTCTGGGGTGATGCTGTCCACATCCATCTCCACCAAGTTTCCACAGCATTGCAATTCTAGGAAACCTCGTGCTTGTATTGGATCAAGGGGATGTGCCAAGGTGTCATGAGGCTGTGGGCCATAGCTTGGCTTCTATCCACTCTGGTCCTGAGAACAGCTTGGTTCCAGTCTCTAAGATACTCCAACCACAGGTTGGTCCTCTGAGCTGCTGCTTTACCTGTAGATGTGGCCCAGAACTATTCACTATAGAAGGTGTGTTCTGAGCCCAACAGCTGCCAAGTATGCAGGTGTTTGTAATACCCGGGGAGTGATCACAAATTTTACTCCGATTTTTTTAGGTAACAAAATATATGACAAATCTTCCTTGGAGGTAAGGCTCTAGCAGGTAGGGAACACACAAAGAGGGAAGCTAGAATGCTCTGACTTTACTATATTGGTGTTCTAGTACATTCAAGGTTTCTGTTTAAAGAAAACAGATGAATGGACATGTTGATAACAAAACAGGCCATTCAGTGCCACCACTTTTCCTTGTTGAATCCAAAGGTTGGCATACATTTTCATAGATCCCATTCATATTGCTTCTGGACATACCGGTGTGACAGTCAGTGCACTGCCTATTAGATTGGGACAGTCAGGTAAAAACCAGTCCCTGCTGAGGAGAACTGATAGAACTGGAGGATCTCTGGTCTCACCCTGGGCCTCTTGCTCCCTGACACATCATCCATTAGAACCTGAAGGATGAGGTGCACTGCCCAGGCAGAGTAAGGGCCCTGCATTGGGCTGGCAGGTTGGACCTCCATGGGGATTGTTTTTTTTTTCAACATGTTCATGCTGTACCCAGGCCTGCTGGAATCTCTGAAGACGGGTGTTTTTCAGAGCTCTTTCCACAAGGGACAGAGTTGACAATCTTATCATCCCTCATGGGAACCTTCCACTCCAGTACAGTACAGGACTGTGGTCATGGGTGATAGGTAAAGTAGCCTATGGATGAATCCGATTGATCTGGAGAAAGACCAGGACACAGATACAACTCCTTTGGAATAGATTATTAGCCAAGGAACACGGGGGACAGATTCCCTTCCAGGCAGGGAAAATGTCTGCCAGGGTCACGAGCTGGGGTCTTTTAAAGGGGGAGGCTTCTGCTTCCTGCAGAAGGTGGGAAAATATTTTTTTTAAAGTTGGGGGGGTGGGAGAACACAACTGTTAAAACCTACCTTCTTTAGAGATCAAAGGGGAAGCCTGCTGTGTTCACCAAACAGTGGAGAAAAGTCTCTTGACTTCAAAGACCAGGGTGCTTGTCAACTCAGTTCCCTTTTCTCAGGGGCTTGTGAGGCCCTGTTGGTGAGGGGGCGGGGCTATCTGAACCTTAACAATGGGCTCCAAAGGGGAGGTAGAAATTCTATGGAAAAACACCTGGCCCAACCTTTTGAAAAAGCGTTGGACCCTGGTGGACAAGGCAGAAGAGAGAGTTTAGAAGCAGGATGGAAGAAAGTTTGACTAAAGATGCCCCTAAGTGAAGATGCTATTAATTTTGTTCAGGGAATGTGGTTTGAATGAGAATGTTCACTATAGGTTCCAAGTATCTGAACCCTTGATCAGTTAGTTGGTGGTGCTGTTTGGGGAGGGTCCTGGAACCTTTAGGGGTTGTGGCTATGGTGGAGGAAGCACATCATGGCGGGTGGGGTGGGGGCGGGGCTTTCAGAGTTCAAAGCCATGTCTCACTTCCAAGCTGCTTTGCTTTGTTTCCTGTACCTTCCTGAAGATTTGAGTGCTCAGCTTTCTGCTTCAGCCACCTCTGTCACCAGACCTCCCTGCATGATGAACTCATCCCTCTGGAACTGTAAGTCAAAAGCTCTTTCTTCTATAACTTGCCTTGGTCATGGTGTTTTATCACAGCAACAGAAAAGTAACTAATACAGGGAACATTTCAAAGTGTGTGTTAACCCCAGATGTTATGAGTTTCTGGGGTCATTTAGAATAGCCTGCCAGGTTGACTGGGGAAGGTGTTC